TTTAGTAGAAGCTTCAAAATGTCTTAATAATAAAATGGGTAGCATTGAATACATAAATGGGATTGCAGCATACTAAAATTGGTGCCTAGCCTTTCCAGTGTCATACTAAAATTGTGCCTAGCTTATGGACCTGGTGAATGTAATATTCTCTTTCTGTATCTACAGGGAGTTGTCGTCATGACCATAACTCCAGTAAGGGGCGGAGTCAAGAATTTTAATTAGGAGAGGTCAGTTTTTCAAGTTTTAAAATAATGTATTTTAATTTTGAAAATTTACTTTTATATCATATATTAAAATAATAAAAAATGATGTGTGCACACCCGGATCCAACATCCGGGTGTGCATACATCATATAAAAAAAAATGCCCATCACCCGGTTCAATTTTTTTTTTTTATGTAGGGGGTGCACATCCGGGTGTTGGATCCGGGTGTACACCAATCATTGTCCTAAAATAATACTTGACAAGTCTTCATATTATAAAATCTATTTATAATATTATATATACTAAATGATTGAACTATTTCATTTTCAATATAAACAATCAAAGAGTTTGAAAGAAATTTATCCTCTATTTTGTTGCGATGTCTCATTTTCACCATTTTCATAATAAAAAATACTTTTTCTATTATTGCTATAAAAACTGAAAGAATAAATATCAAAATAATTAACTTATAAATGAAAATATAGACCTTTGATTTTCTTGTCTCTACAAGCCATTGATATAGTTTAGAAATACGACAACATCCTATCTCTTTACCTTAGCACTTTCTACAAGCAAACAAAATTTTTTTCCTTTTTTATAAACTAATTACACTATATACGAGTTTATCTTTCTTTTATACTAATTTATGTTCATATAACTTTTCTCTATATGACTACATCTAAGGTTTTTCTTTTTATTGGATTTATATATGTTCCCTTTATGGATTTGTACTTTTTTTTAAAAAGTTTTTTACTCCGATTCAATTATATTCCATATAACTTCAATATAGCTTCAATACTGTCATAATATTCAATTTTATTTGTAAGCTCAACAACTCTAAATCCTAAAAAGGAAATTATACAATTTTTTGCGATAATAAAAAATCAATAAGTTTTATTACTTAAATATTACTCCCTTTATACTAGAATAATAGATTTTTTTTTTGTTTTATCTTCGAATGAAAGATTTGAAAATAATTTTTATCTTTACCTATTTTATACTTAAAAAATAGCTAAAAATAAATATATGCCTCCATCAGAAAATAAATAATTAAAGTTAAAAAATAATTATAGGGTTAAAGTAGAAAAAAACTATTTATCTTTCTCAAAATAATAAAAAAATGACTATTATTTTGGGATCAATTCTAAATAAAAAATATCAATTATTCTGGGACAGAGAAAGTATACTAATTTTTTTGTTAGAACATATCTACTAACAAGTATAAAACAAAATTTTAGAATAAAATTAAAAAAAACTTACAAAACTTTAAAGTTGAAATCCAATATGACAATATATGATTCATATAAAAAGAGATAATATTGTTTTTAATTTTTATTAAGTTGTTTTTAGTTTTATTAAGAAATTAGTGGTCCCTTTAGTAGTCCCTTAATTTGTCTTCAAGCTTTCAATGAAAAGAGCAGTGTTGCAATGGCTTGCATCGAGCCGTCAGGGAAGTCTCTTTTTTTTTTTCTTTTATCTATTTTTTTTAACTTGGTTAGTTGAAGGAGATTAACAACGGGAAAGTGGAACTGGATATTGAAGAAATGACATAGAATACACAAGAATTGTTTTTTTTTTTTTATCTTTTTTATAAAATTTAGTTGTAGCCTTGTAGGCCCTAAAATGGGTGGGTTTTAAATAATAATAAATTGTTAAATTGATAAAATGAATAATTGATTATATAAATTATATTTGAACTCTTAAAATAACCTATTATTATTGGATTTTTTTTATTTTAT